ATAAGAAAAGAGTTCAACCCCACAGGGATGGTTTGGGACACCAACATGGCCACCGTTTCATTGTTTTGGGACACCAATGTGGCCGCCGTGACGTTATGTGAAAACACTCTATTTGATAAGTCTAAACCTAAACACATCAGTAGTAGTATAGCAGGAACTAAACTTACCTGTTTTTTTTTTATTGAATTAATTTTTTGTGGGACGCATTAACACCAATAACGTCATGTGTAGGCACTTTAACGTTGCACCAGGTTTTATCTTAATGTTATGACTGGTATAAACGAATTGAAGGGTTTTGATTTTTTTTTTATTTTAGACACAGTATGGACACAGTATGCATGGGTGCAAAGCAGTACAATGACAACATAGACAACATACGCGCAATAATTCACCCGTAGACGCTTCAATTATCAGATTTCTCGTGCGATATTCTTATTATTGACTTGGTTGAATTGGAAGGGCGAGGATGGCTATTTTAACGTTTTCATTGTTCCTGTCATGATGAGGAAGCAGTACTCTCAATATCAGTTTCTTTCTTCGCAGTAACAACATTAATAGCGACCTTTAGATTCTAAGACGAGTGCGAGTACGTGAACGAGATTTTCTCAATACTAAGTAGTGCGAGCGCGTAAACCAGCGTCATTTTGGCGGGAAAACATGATAGTCGTCGTCATGTTAGGGGCCGACCATTTAACTCTTGAGCAATCTGATGGGCAGCGTAGCCTGCGAGCAAGCTCTCCTGATTGGGCGAGTGAAGTGAGTCTCACGAAAACGCGCGCGAGCGAGCGGCAGAGCCGCGAGGGGCCGAGGAAAGGAGAGCTTGCAACGATTTCTCATAAAATTTCATTTGTACTTCGCCCAGACGAAGGGAAATACCATTGGCTTAAAAATGACGTTCCGGAAATCAAAGTTGATTGATAACAGGCTAAGCTGGTACCCGCTTCGTCTGTGTGTCAAATTTGGCTCTCAGGGGGATCAGATTGGTACCGGCCCCTCAAAGCAGACGGGCTCGTTTGATGTTGATAAGGCGAGCCGAGGATAGGTCGGATCGAGTTTGTAGTTCTTGTGGAAGGAAAATGAAAACCCTTCATCAGTTGTATTCGTTTGTGTCAAGCGCCTTCTTTAGTTCTGAAAACCGGGAGAGTGAAAGTGAAGAGTGATTCAAGCGCTGTTTTCCAACGTCGGTTTCTTCGCCCAGCTGAATTCTACTGGGTAACAAAATTCAGAAACATGTACTTGACAGTGTAGCGGTGTAGCGTGACCGTAAAGAAGGAAAAGAGAAAGAGTTGGAAGCAACTCGAGTAAAACTTAAGAGAATCAAGTGCAGGAAAACGCCATTCTCCTGTTCCAGACGGACAAATATATCATGTTTTCGTTGGTGATTGCGATGGGGAGTAGTCTTCTACACTGCAGTACGGATGACTTTTCAAAAGTAAACAAAACGAGAATCAAATTAGAGAGTACTTATCCGAGCGGACAAGTTGAAGTTCGATGTCCCCGTGGAGAAGAAACATATCAGCGATTTTAAAAAAACATTGCTTTGATGCTGGAATGCGAAAGCGATTTATAAATAAATAATTCTACGCGGCCTCGGCTGTCTAAACTTACTTGACAGGCGGTTGTCACTTTTCTAATCTGCGGCACGTTTGCGTTGACAGTTTTCACGCTTTACGGAGTCCCGGGGTTTCCGGGGTGGAAATGCAAATTTATGAGAGATCCAGGCGGTGTGCGTCACGACCCACAAAGGTTCATGGGTAAAACTGTTAATGTGCCTCATTTCAATCGTGACACGGTCGAGTTCGCATCTCGTAAGGAGATGAATCAAACCCAGGGATCAAAATACTGATGCCCTTTCTGAAAAACATTACGGAAGAGAGCGATTTGGAGAATTTTCAAGGTCTCATAGTGGCCTTAGATGCTTGCTATTGGCTTCACGAGACAATTTCAATAAGTTTATCGCGATTCGGAGACGATCGTGCGATCTAGCCGACTAATGAGCGGCGACCAAGAGAGGATAAAGGGGACAGAGAAGGCATCCCCCATACACACCCTATTCCATAGGTAATTCGTCTCGAGTTATTTTTAGAATCGGGATGAAGTTACCTCGCGCGTTTCGCATGACTAAACGCCGTGCAAAACATGTCGGGCGAAAAGCAATGAAAGCGTAAAGAGATCGAGAGCATTTCTGATGAATATTGAAGCGAAATGAGTCGGCGCTCATCAGGGAAAAGGGAATCGCTGGACTCTTTGACAACCCGTGAAATCAGTTTAACTCGAAGTTGTCGTAACCTCAGTGCTTTAATAAAATGAGAAATTTTGCCGGTCTATTGAAACCGGTCGTTTGTAGAATAAAGCAAGTAGGACGCCAAGTGTTATTTTTGTTGAATAATAAAGACTAATAAAAGAAGAAATTATCGCTGTCTTCAAACTGCAAATTATAAATGATCCTGAGAGAATATTCAGTGTGTTAAGGATTTCCCTACTGTACTGTTAGCTCTATACAAGAGAGGAAGGGCGATTCTTTCTTAATTTCCATTTCGCTGACACAGCTTTAGCAGAAATCTGTCTGTAGTCGTTTTCGTCGACAAAAAGAATGGCAATATCGCTCTCCGCGTCTTTTTTTTGCCTCAATTCGTGAAGGACGCGTGGCTCTGAGCGTGGTCATCCACGCGGAACACATTCGCGCTATGTGATTGGCTGTTGTCTAATCCTCCTTGGGATCTGTGGTCTTAAAAATAACTCAAGACGAATTACCTATGGAATAGGTTGTGTATGGAGGATGCCTTCTCTGTCCACTTTATCCTCTCTTGGCGGCGACTAATTTCCTGCTGCTTATAAGATTTTATGTACTGTTTGGTTTATATGTATATTTTTATCTCATAGTGAGAGAGATCTGTAGTTCATACCTGGATTTGCTTAACTAAAAAAAATCGTCCATTAGAAGTGTTTATATAGTTGATGGACTTCATTACCGGTCGAGGAGGGGGAGCGCGAGCAAATAGCAGGGTGAGAAATCGTCTCTCATAACAATATTTTCATCGAAAAGTTAAAATTATTTTGAAAACAGTGCCCGTTTGAAATCCTTATGCGCAAATAAATCTTCTATCAGGCAAGGGGAAAACAGACCGAAAGAGCGAATCAGCTACAGCACAATCGGAATTTCACCGAAGCTACAGCCGCAGAAATAAACCACGATCTTGTCTGTGCGTTCACTGAAGTGAGCGCAGCATATCGATTTTGTTATAAAGTAAAACCTAACCTCACTGTTTTAAAATCCTTTATGTTGTTGTCTGGATCCTCGATAACGGTTTTGTGTTTTGGTAGAGATTTATAACAATTTATTCCCTCACATAAGTTTACATAAAGATTTGCATACACATAGCACACGCCGCATGCAAATTATTTCAAAGTCACGCTTTCAGTTTCCGCACTGGGTTGCGAAAATGTTTTCTTTCCAAAGGTTATTACAATATTCAAACTTATTTACCTTTTCTGGTTTAAAATAGAACAAACCCTTCCTGGATTTGGCGTTACTCGCTTCACGTCGGCTTCCGCTTCGGCATGTTTTCTCAGCCCGTTTCCCGGGAGTTGTGCCACTTGGGTGAGACGATGTCTTAATTCCAAGACACTTTCAACGGCTCATAACGGGAAAACTAACAGGGGTAGACCCGGGCAGACCCCCAAATTTGCAAAGAAGAAAGGTTGAAGAACCAAGAGGGCCAAATTCGATAAAACCGCTAACAGTAACCAGCAATGAATCCAAGAAGAACGCAAAAACAACACTCAAATCATAATGGCGGCCTGCACATGACCGAGTAATTCAAACTTGTCACAAACGCTCAGGAAAGCAAAATATTTAAAAGTAACGCAACTGCTATCAAGATAAAGTGTTCCAACAACTTTCCACGGCCGTATAGTGTCGAAATTACCAACACAAGCTTGGAACAAAGCGAAAATGTCACCACATATACCTCAAAAAAGGCTCTTTCCAAGCGCGAAAATCACTCTACAAATGACGCATTCTGATTGGTTGAATCTCGCGACGCACACCACCTGTGAGAGATCGTCGCAAGCTCTCCTTTCCTCGGCCTCTCGCTCGCGCGTTCTCGCGAGGCTCACTTCGCTTGCCCAAATAGGAGAGCTTGCTCGCAGGCTAGTGGGCAGGATATTTTTTCCTCTTTTTTCTAGTAAGCTTTCTATTACATTTGTGCTGCATGCAATTTTTTTCTTCCGACAAGCGCTTGCGGGAAATTACCCCACCTCCCTCCCCCCCCCTCAAGAGTTAAATGGTCGGCCCCTTACTTAGAGTTTTAGCGAGAATGTCGCGTTAGCGGACACAAGTTATAAAGTGTTATAGGTGTTAATATTTTGCGGCTGGGAGATCAAGATAACAGTGCTAATTTGTTTGGTGAAAAAGATGTACATTAAAGCTTTCCGGGGTGTCTATTATTTGAGAAAACGCGAAAAAACTTTAAATTAAATCTCGTACTCGTAGTCGTTCTCGTCCTAGAATCTAAAAGTCTCTAATCTTACACAAAGCAGGACATATTACTAAAAGTGTCAATCTCCTCCCTGACAAGGCTGTTCATTGTCCAAACTGATATCTAATTGACCTTTTAGATCATGAACAGTTTTTTTAGTTCAATATTGCAAGTATTATTCCTACTTAGCTTTCCGCTTTGCAATGGTTCAAAAAGTTCTCCTGTTCAATTTAATACACGTGTATGGTATGTTGTAGAGCTGATAACCGTAAACAAAAATCCCATCTTATTTTTTATGCCATATTCTTGATGACTTATTGATCCTCACAGCCTTGCTTGCCAGCAAACACATCACTTCCCGCCAACACTGACTCAAGCCCCTTTTTCCATCTCAAAGGTAAAAGTTGCTGTTTCTACGGCCACGTTTTAAATACATATTAATTAAGGTAACTCTATAAATAAATTAAATTATCAGAAATCACTCCCTCAGCTACGTTCGTCGGTTAATTGGCTTTGGTGAAAGGAGATAACGGCTGTTTCCACTTTTTCATGTTTTTTAACAGAAAACATCCCGTCTGGTTCTGCACGACACTTGCCACTTAATATTCCTTTCATTTTCTCTTTGAATCTCTGATTTATCAAAGCATACAGAATAGGATTGATAGCAGAATTGAACAGGATCAAAATGGAAGTCGATGCGTATGTCAGCTGATTGAAGGAAGGCTTATAATAGTAGAGGACGAAGTTAAACGAGTCTGCCAGCCAGGTTACTCCAAAAACGATACTGACTGTTATGACCATCAAGGTGACCCGCTTGCGTACTTTCAGTACACCCTGAAAACAAAATTAAAATTTCAACTTGTTGTTTGTGGAACAGCATAAACCCTGGTGCGGGTGAGTATACGGGACCAGCAGCTAGGAGTGTAGGTAAATCACTTATATACTAAACTAGGGTATCTAAAAGATAGTAATGCTGCGGCACATTCTGTTGATACTGGCATGAGTTAGGCAGTGCGACTTAAAAGAATCGAAAATGACATTGAATGTCCTATTTACATGTTGGAAAGTACTAGAATAATTACTATCAGTTTATAGAAAGAACTCGTGGGAAAGTTGTTTAGAAAATGATCAAGTGGTTATCAACTCTGTTTTTACCACAGTAAATTGTAGGAAATGATAGAAATTCAGATTGTTTATCCATATACTTAATAGAAAAGATAGTACGGTGTACTATCTTTTCTCTGGAAACACGATACTTTTCTTGCTGTTTATTGCACTTTATAAGTAACAGTAATTTAGCTATATATTTATAGGAAACAGCAACACAAAAGACGGAAAAAAAAGAAAGAAGGAAAAAAAGAATTTGGTAGAACTCGAACCCTGCACCATCGGCTCGACGCGATTACACCTAACCACTACACTACAGAAACTGTTCACGTATTTCTGGGAAAAGTCTTTTATTTAATGCCTTTTCCATGAAACTTCCGCCGGCAAGATGATAGCCAGCCGCATCAATCGAGCTATTAACAGTAAAAGAACAATGTAAATGCATATTCCATGGCAATGAATAAATGAAAGAACATAATTATGCTTTTCAAAACGCCGATGCACGTCCTCGTCTGCAACGTAGGACACAAAACATATGTTTTGTTATCTCGATTTCCGCTGTTATTTTGAAGCGAATGGTCAAAATCACATCCATTTTCGGCTCATACAGGTTCTGAAGAATAGCATGGCATGACATTTTCTCACTTTCACATCACCTTCTAGCAAGCTGGAATTTGTCTATCCCCCGTGTTGCGGAGTCGAAGAGCAAATGCTCATCTTCTCATCAGGTTTAACACCTGGACGAGTCAAAGGCTCTTGAATTGAAATCCAATCCCCTATTTAACCATCGTATTCATCTGAAAGACTCCTGCGTGTCTTAAATTTGGTAAGACCTCTAACCGTGCTGTAGAAAATTTGCTACAAAGAAAACTCTTGAGTCTGGGCAGCAAACGATGCGAACTTCCCCGTGTTTTATTTGAGTGGTTCGTGGCGCAATGCACTCTGGTTAAATGCAATGCATTGTGATAAAAAGTGACGAATTCGAGAATTCGTCGCCCCTTAAATCCTAATTATGTTGCTGCTCGCTCCCTACGGTCGCTCCGCAGCAATAACCGTAGTGACGTAAACCTACACACGTGCGTTATTGACCAAGCGTGAGGTCAAAATGGTTGGATATTGGCCAAGTTCTTTTTTGTGTGATTATGCATCAGACAGCCCCTTCCCCCGGGCCACTGCGGAACATTTGCCCACCTTGTCAGTCCTGGGGGTGGGGTATTAGCAAATTTTGCGTGGCCTGGGGGTCGGGCCTACCCCGAGCTTTTTACACGTAGGTGGTTCCAGTTCTAATACAACTAATCATGGAGGATTTTACTGGAAACACATTAACAAGCAGATTGGCAGATTGGCTCATCTATAAAGGATGCGAAAAATGTGTAGAGGTTTTTAGAGGCATGATTTCTCGATTTTATGCATGCATCTTTCATTGCTTATCAAGACAGAACTTACACTGTGAAATCGGAAGCTATTTATAACAAGATAATAACAATGATAAAATAAAGAATCGTGAATAGTTTGCGTTTGCGTTAAGTGGCACCATTCGACTTGGCGATCAATGAAAACTGCTACAGTGTGGATTGAGGACGGGACAGAAATTTCTGCATGGCCAAAAAAAGAACTTTTCTTGCAGGAAGAAATTGGTATAAGGCATGTTGCTTTTAATTTAATGTCGAACCTGTTGCACACAATGATGACGTCCTCTTGGCTTTGAGTATATCTGCTAGGCACGATACCAAGAGAAACTTCTAAATGTTATGAAAACTAACTTTATATCGTTCTGTAAATAGTGTTAGCCTTCTCTTTGTTATCAAGGCCTTGTGCTATGATGACGCAAAAGGTAAGTTGTAGTCAAAGTAAATGAACCACTTACGCTACCTGTGGAAGAAAGAGTTAATTCGCTTTAAATGGTGTACACGCAAATCGAAACAAAAGTGATAAGCATACCTTTACTCTACGAGCACCAAAATTTCCCTTTTTTCCAAAGGGATGTAGTGCAGCACAGTAGCGTTCAGTTGCCACGGCAACAAGTGTAAAAACGGATGTACCACCTCTAATCCAGGCAACATTTCCTCCAGTCAGCAGTCTGCAGAGCACTTTTCCAGCAACTCCATCAGGATGAGTGAAAGTGTGCACCAAAACATATTTTGGTAGTGGAAATGTGGCCACAGTCATGTCTGCGATGGCGAGGTTCATAAGAAGATAGTTTATTGATGTCCTTGGGGAAAGCAGTCTTAGTTAGTTCCCCTCGGAAAAGGGTATTTAAAGAAACATGATAATAGTGAGTTTAGTGTAGAGGACGGAAAAGGAAAGAGGACCACGGTGTACTGATCATTTGTAGACTGCGAGCAGCCCCTCTTGAGCTCGATAATCTGTGAGCGAGCGCGATATGCGAGTGGGCATTCTGATATAGGAGTTCTAATACAGACTTTCCAAAATCGGAATATTTGATATGGATTAGACTAAATATTTCTAAAAAAAGTCGACTCCCGATAACTCGAACCCTCGAGGGAAATTGAAAAAAATTCGAGTTACTCGGGGGTTCGAAGCAGATAGCCCGACACAAGCACATAAGCAAATGGATTAAAATTTAAATTAAATTAAATTAAAATTAAATTAAATTAAATTAAATTAAATTAAAATTTCAATAAATACTCCCAAAAAAAGGTTTTTCAGTAGCTATTTACAAATATGAATGCAAGCTATATCTAACAAGCTAATAATTGTTAAATGCTAACTGTCATTCGATCATTCATTCATTACAAGTTTCAGGGCTTTCGTAAAGGCCTTTACAGTTGTAGCGTTTCTAAGGTCTTCGTCTAACGTGTTCCACAGGGATACTGTTCTATAGGCGAAGGTACGTTGGCCAGTGGCTGACCTGAATAATGGGATTTCGAACATCTCATTATTACGGGTTGTGCGATTATGTACAGAAGATCGTTTTTTAAACTTAGCACATAGGTATTCAGGAGCTAAATTGCTGGCACACTTATAAGCCATAACAGCGTCTCTGAATTTGAGCATCTTGCTAACTGGAAGCCAGTTGAGTTTGTCAAGTAATGGCGTCACGTGGTCATATTTCCGAGCGCCGCAGATAATTTTGCAGGCGAAATTCTAAATAATTTGCAGCTTTTGGATGTTCTTAGATGAGGTATTAGACCACACGGTCGAACAGTAGAGCATTTTGCTAAACACAAGAGAAGTAATAATTAAAACCAAAGTCTTTCTATCAAAACAATATTTCACGCGTTTGATAATGGAGGATGGATGTGGAGGGAATTCAAGTATTATGCTTACTTCTCTCAGTTCAGGGCAGCAAGAGATATAGTTAAACATCTGTGATCTTTGCGGTCAGGAGCAGCAACAAGATTATTATACCAATGGAGAGGGGCACTTTTCAAGACTCTGCTGCCAAGTTATTTAATGTCCTTCCGGCAAATATTAGAAACTGTAGCGATTTCAAAGTATATTGTAGGGAAGTTAATGCCTATCTATTAAATAACATTTGTAAATAGTTTGTAAATTGTATATAGGGTTGTATTACTATTACTAATCTTTATAACATTATTATTTTTTATACACTATTCTTTTATAGTCCAATTATTTTGCTTTTTATATTGTAGATTTCAATTCAATTTTTTTTGTAGCATATTATAGTTTTTCATTGTTTATATTGTAGTTTTTAACAGGTGAA